CATTTTTTATCATCGTAGCTCAGCACCACACAAATTATTTTGTAAATGTACAATATTTATGTATAAAGCCATGCACAACAACTAATGGTGTTTCATTAGACACATGTAAATAAAATTGTGAACACAGACACAATTAAGCAAACAATTATTTTCTCACCGGCTCTGCAAAAGCATTGTCCCACAACACTGTTGCCGTGGCATTATTGTCTTGGCTACCGTGAACTATCACCACCACAGGAAGTGATAACGTCTGTTCAGAGAGAGAGAGAGATTCGTACAGATTCCTGTTATTGCAGGAGCACGAACAGATTGTATGTTTGTGTGTGTCAAGGTTCGGATAGTTGTTTCTTCCACCCCGTCTGTCTGGAACCTCTTACCTTCACTTGAAAGACAAGCTCATTGCCTCCAACACTAAACTGGGACTCGAACAGGATGGTGAACTTCTCCTCTGTGACAGATTCTGCCCCTCGCCTGTCTGATCGCTTGATCCTCTTTAAAGACTACATGAAAGATGACATGTGTAACATTCAGGTTTATACTGCGCATTTTGCCTGTGCAGTTAGGCTGATAAAACACACATCATACAGTATGGTACACACATGCATAATTCACTTCACAGTTGGGCTGACATGTAAATAATCCATGGAGGGCTCAGGAGATTGTTGTAAACAAGTTGTGTGATGTACAGAGATGCTCTACAGATGCTGTACACTGATCCTCTAAAAGAACTGCTGAGTTACTATGTGTATGTGCAGCACATACTGTACTGCAATACCCACACTGCACTATCACGAGATAATGACACTGGGTGGTGCATTGCATCTTAAGAGTGTTGCTTCTAAATCCTGCAAGATCCCAGTAGATTAATCACTTTATTGTAAAAATCCAAAATACAGATATTTCAGCAAGTGGATACATTTTGATATCCTCTATCAGATAGCAGGATTATGTAAAAATCTACTGGATGGATTACCACTAAATTTGGTGGAAGGATGTAGAATGGGTCAGGAAAGAATCCGTAAAATTTTTGTGTGGATCCAGATCAGGGGGCGGATCCAGGAGTTTTTTCACCATTTTTTATCTATTTCCCAGAGAATAATCCATGAGTCTTGATGAAAATAAAATCAGGCATGTTTAGGAGACTGCAATTTAGTGCAGATCCAAATAAAAATCTGAAAGGAGTGAATTAAACTGTGTTTCATAAGGGGACAGTTGGACCTTGTGAGAGGTATACACTCTACTCAGAGCCATTCTAGTTTATTGTACCAAAACATTTTATATAATTTGTAGCTACAAGACCATTTTGCCATACATTTCCATAACACTGAATAACATAATGGTCGGTAATTGCCTCACTTAACAGTGACCTACTTTACATCTTCCATGCCCAAGGAAATTTAACAGTTTTTATTCAGTTTTACACTATTCAATGTCTCAGGATTCCGGGAAATTAAAGGATAGAGCAAATACACGATTGCAGCTTTTAAATAAAGGAATCACTGACTCATCTTGTTGATATAAATTTAATTTTTCATTTCATCCCAAACTAGCACGACGGTGTTTCAGTCTGGTCTGGAGACATAGCTTCTCTTTCCATCACAGGAATCCACCATCCTGCTGTTTTCCTAAGTTTGGGGCTTTATCTTGCTTTAGGATGAACCCCTGACCAGCCAGCCTGTCTTCCTTTTACTACCTTTTTCTCACCATTCTGATCAATGCAATCGTACTGAGTCCTGCTCCATATACAGTCCTAATAGTGCATCTATAGAAAGTGATGGAGTTTGTCCAGTTAATCAACAAGTTAAGTAACCTGTCTGAATTGAAAAGCTGTACAATAATTTCTTTAAAGATTTTTATGATTTTGTTGACCTGAACCTTTTTTAACCCCCAGTTCAAGATTATTCAGCAGACCTGTAATTCTTAAACTTTAAATCTAAAAGAAAACTAGAACATTTAAGGTGTTCTCAAACTCTATAGGCTATAATTTAATATTTATGCATTGATATAATTTAAAATTAATTCTTCAGCCACTTTCTGCTGTTTGAAGGACAGAGAGGTCGTTTCATTTGCTGTTGCATCTGGAAGAATAAACTCCTCTGCTGGCTGCAGACACTCACCATGTTCCTGAAGTGGGCACTGAGAGTGCCGGTGGTCTGATGGTACTCCATCACACAGTTATTGTTGAGAATCTCCCCGCTGCTGTCACTGAAAGAGAAAGGCAATCAAATAGTCAATAAGCTGCACTGTCTGCTGTGACGCACTCCGTGTGCTGAGAATTACATTCATTCCAGAACAAATTAAAACAAAGTGATTCTCATTTAGACGCCAGGAGCAGAATGAAAAACCACACTGGGCACAGGAAAGATGTTAATTCTCCTTTTTTCATATAAATGGAGAGTTTAACAACCACCTTCTTTATCTTCTCTACATGACAAAACAGAAGGCATATGTGTCTAGGCTGTGGAACTGTGCTGCACCAAGTGCTTCAGATGACAAACAGCAGATGATGGCAGAGCTGTTGAATTGCTCCCTTATTTAACCACTTGCTGTCAGATTGACCTACAGTCTTGGAAGGTTTCTATTAGCCAGGAGGAATGTGGACCGAGGCTGCGGAGCAGGCTAAATGTGGATTCTGCATCCACGCCATAGATTCCTCTGAGAAAGTATTCAAGTTCCAGCAATGTCTCTGCGGTGAGGTTTGGAAACCCACTGGGCCAGAGTTCATCCTGGGATCCAATCATCTTTGCAGAAAACTGAGAATTCTTGTCTTAATGGCACCATGGGAAATCAATGCAGTGTCCCAACTAAAGGAAGCGGGGATACTAAAAAGAAATGTTCATACAAAGAAAGGGAAACAGATAGATCACATGCTGCCTCTACAATGTGAAAGCACATGCATGACTCCCTGAAACGGCTGAAATCGGCTTCAGAACTGATTTTCTGTATCAAATAAACCATGTTGCTAATATCGCCAAGTAGCAGATGAATGAGTCAGAAAATTGTCGATTACAAAGTGTCCTTTGCAATCGTTACTAATGTTTTCTGTTTTCAAAGCAGTGGACTTACTTCCTTGTGTTCTCGTTCTTCAGCAGGGCCTTGGCTTGCTGTTCACTGATGATGGTGGCCTTGACCTGTGGAGGGTTCATGTGCACGTTCAACTTCCCCCCCACCAAGAGTCGTACTGTAGCGGCAAACTTAGTTTGGGTTTTTAACACCTGTGGAGGCTGTTTCTCGATAATGAAGGTGCTGTGGAGACACAAAGGTGAAGTAGACAGAAGAAAGACATGTTGATCGGGTGTGTTGGAGGGTCATTTAGTTTGAGTGCACATTATATTACATGGTAAGTTGAACTCTCGCCATGATACCCTGTTGAATGTCATCTTGCCTTCCATAACTCAGAAACTAATGAAATGCAGATTAAAATATGCATAATAATATAGTTAAAAGCTTATTTGATTCTTTTTTTGTGGTAGATATTAGCTAAAGACAGTGTTGCACATATTTCAAAATCAAACTGGGATTAAATAACGACTGAATTTTACTTAAGACTGCAGAATAGTTCTGGGCAACGTGGCCAAAAATTGTGTAAAGTCTCATGTTTGCTCCTGAATGAAGGTTGTGGTTTTGCCGCTAAAGCTTAAGTTTTATATCTTTTGATGCGAAATACATTGTGATAATTATTGATATTGGTTGTTTGCAGCCCTACAACAAAGGGCTGCAAACTGAATGCAAACAATGTATGTTTACAATATAGAAAAACAAGTACACCATTGAGATGCAGTCATTTTGGTGTGAAATGTTGAATGACACATTTCTGATCGCTACAGATGAAAAACCCAGGGTTCTTTTAATGTCTCATCACCTCCACATTTGAGTCTTTGAACATTTGCCTTTCAAAATGACCTTAACCATGTGCGTAAGCGGAATGACATGAAAGTAATCACTGTTCAGCAAACTACCAGAGTAAAAAGATATTTTCTTCTGATGATGCTGGTTTGCTTCACCGTCTTCTGATTTCCACATTAGCAGACAAAGAGCATGAAGCAAGATAACAGCAGACGCAACCTAATAATTAAGCCTGCAGGCTCAGAGGTAGCTCAGAAACAAACGCACTCTGTTGTTATGAGCCCTTCAAGCCCTCTCGTCTGCAGCTGGACTAAGTGGTGTTGAGGAGACAACACTCTCACATTCCCTGCCTGAAACCTACCGAGACCTCAGCAGAATATATGGAGGATTTTGTTGAGAAGACCTGGTTCGGTGCGTGATAGCGGTGCATTACTGTCTAGTCACAGGCCCGTCTGCAGCCAATAAAAAAATCGCTGTGACAGTGACACGGCTTCTCAATATCTTATGGGTCCACAGAGGGGCAATCTTCTTCGAGAGTGGGAGAGGATGCTGTTAGAAACCTCGGATTACTTCCTGTTCAGAGACGGTGGAAGGCTTAAAGACCTTGGCAGATGTGCCACTGGGTCCAGAAATGATGCAGGGAGACAACTGCATGTTAGCTTTTGGATGGTTCTGCTTCACTTTATTTTAATCTCTGGCACACAGCATGTTCTGCGTCTCTGCAGATTCCTCTCGGTGCATCAAACCACCATCCTTTGCTTCGGGGGCACATTTACATTCAGTTCTGAATTCACAATTGGCATGTGTATTTGTATTTTGCCCAGAGAAGTGCAGTGCAGTGCCATTTTGACATAGAAGATAATAAAAGCGACCAGCACACAGTTGCAGTCAGTGGGGTCTGGCAGTGTGCTGCTATTTCACCATATCGGACTGACACGGACACAAAACAGGTGCTGATTTCTGTCATTGCAACAACATTCAAAGAATCACTTCCTTTTGTCTTTAGAGTAAAACCACAACATTTGTTGAGCTAAATTATCTTTTATTTTGAAAAAATGTGAACTTGGGTCTGATCATGTGTCGATTGCTTAACAGATCTCTGAACTCGTCGGAAATCATTCAATTTTATCAATGAACAATTTCAGTGAACAATAATAAAGAAAATTCTGTTTCATCTTATTTTTTTTAATGAGATCTTCATTGCAGATAATAGTGGTAGGTTTCATTGTTAGTGGTGGGGAAAGCCATCCGCGTGCTGGACAATAACTGCATTGACACGCACAGGAAACGATGCAGCATGTAAAGCACAAAATAACAGCCTCACTCTTCATGATTTATGCTCTAAACACTGGATCTAAACACTAAAACATAGCTTAATTTAAACACTGCTAATGCAAACCAAACATATCGTACTGCCATTGCTTCACATAAAATCAGCCAAAATGAAAAGCTTTCATTGTATAGCACACAGAAAACAACAATATCTAAGTTATTGTTCATGAAAACTGTGTCTGCAAAAGAAGACAAATATCAAAGGGAGCAAAGAGAAAAGAAGGATTAGCCACATCGAGCTGTTAGATGAAGCGCTGCAGGCAACAGGGTGCGCGCACACCTTCAAGTCATCAGCAAACCTCCATGTGCACTGCTGCTGCTGCATGGAAAATTACTCACACCACGCACAGCATGAAATCAGATTGTGCTCGCCATTATTTCTGACTGACTTCAACAGAAGCAATGTTTGTTTGGCTACACAGTAAACAGTAACTGTGCACCAGTTGCTCCTCTGTTCTATCTAAAAAAAAAAGATGCTCTTTTTTTGAATTAGAAATAACTTGCGCTGGCTGTTCCCAAATCCAGCAGGACTGAAATATCTCAAAACTTTGACAGCTCTTAATCTAAAGGAAAGTTCCTCGCTGCTCATATATTTTAGCAACAGATCATATCTCTCACTCTGTTGCTTCCAAATGCAAAAAAGTTGAGTGAATCAGATTTGCTTCCTTAAAGGCCAGCACTGATTGCAAGAAAGGGCAATGCCTCAATGTTTATAACACACCCACTCAAACATATGTATAGACAGTGATTATAATCCAATACAGCTTCTTGTTAAAGTCTGTGAGTATCTTCTCACGACCTGAGAAACAATCTCTAATCCCAAAACGTATAAGATTCTGACATATTTCTCTTTTGCTGTTTTGCTAGCCCAGTGGCGTCGCCATGGCAATAAGCATCCATAAATTCCAGGTGTGGAGCTTCTGAGGGAGTTGGGGGGAATTGTTTTGCTGTTGAGTTCAAACATGGACTGTTTATAAAGCTGGATGACATGAAAGCCCCCAAAAAAGTGAAGCCAAAGGGTCTCAATTGCCCCCTGGTGACTAACTCCAGCAGAGGTCATAAACCCTGTCTGAATTGGACAAGGTAAAAAAAAAAAAAAAGATCATAGCACACGTTAAATAACTTTTTCTCAAAGATGGTTTCTGTCATTTTTCGTAGTTCTCATCACACCAATACCTATGTTACAATGTTTTTCTGGTAAGTTTGTTTTGAATTTGTTCTTTGATGTTGTAAAAAACGGGGTGAAATGTCATAATTGACTCAAAATTGGTCGAGCATGTGTATCAACAGGACCTCGCTGCCACCGCAAGATGCTGAACACAGTCTTTTCCCCAAATCTGCTTACTCTACTTTTAAATATTTCTTTGTCTTTCAGATGTATAGATTGATTTAAACACACGCACACACAATCACACACACACACACACACACACATACCTGGTGACCAATGCTGAAATGATATCTGTGATAGTGCTGTTGAGTTCGTTGAGCAGCTCTTCAATGGGGCCAGGAATTGGTAGTTGTTGTCTGAGGTGCTCTGCTCTCCGAATCTGCTGCCTGTTCTGCCAGATAGTTTCTGCCAGCTTCTCACACCTGAGACACACACATAGGAATTAGGCCTCAACAAAGAATTTTACAGCAGAAGGTCAACAATAACAGTATCAATTCAAATGAAACACAGCAGCTTAGGCTCCGTACTCCCTCTGGAGTTTCTCCAGCCAGCCCCCTAGTAAAAACTCTGGAGAATGTCTGAATGAGCCCATGTGAGAAAACAGTGCGAGACTCTCCGCAGGATTCACAGTGAGCAGGTGGGCATGGGACACGCAAACAAGCTACAGATGCATGTCAAAATAATAGAACATTCATATCTCAGGTTGAAAAAGTGACGCTGTAGAAGACCAACGAATATGTAAACTGGGAGAGACAGTGAGATCCGAGAGCTTTTGGTGATGTGCTGTAAACAAAAACGTGATCTCAGCAGCAGAATTAATATGTTACTTCCTGCTCCCTTTATGCTGCACCACCCCTCACCCTCAACATATATCTGCGTTGCTGTGAACACATTTGAGCGGAGAATCTCTCGCTGCATTGATCATGTATGAACGGCAAACTCAAGAGAAAGTCTGGACCACATTGTGCGGACGGTCTCCGGTGTTCATGTCCATAAATAGCTCAGGATAGTTTAAAGCACCAATGAAATCCCTGAATGGATAAATAAGCAGATGAACAGTCGGTGGATAATAAGGGATTACAAGATGTCAGCGCATGTCTGCCTGTCTCTCTCTTATTAGGAGCCAAATAAACCCAGTGGTAGTCAATTTCAAGCTTGTAAACCTGTGACCTTTTGTTTTGTGAGGGAATCTTGTGGCTGTGATCTTGGTGGGAGGTGGAAAAGAAACTCACCAGGACTGCAGGATGTCCAGGCCTCCCTCCGGCGGACCCCCGTTGCCTGCCAGCTGTTGCCGTCTCTTCCACTGGATTAGCTCGTCATCCAGAATGATGGTCTGTTGCTTCCTCAACAGCTGCAGCGTTTTCTGGTGCTTCTCTGCAAGGTCCTGCGCACAGAGCGACGAAAACGCACAGCCTCAGAACCACTGTGAAGGTTTATTGTACTCTGTGGAGAGGCTGACATCCAATCAAAAACGGTCATTAAACATATGCACTTATACACATGAACTTCATGTCATACCAGTCTGTACTTCTGTAGTGTGTTGGCTTCTCTGGTCAGCCATGCCTCCACAGTGGCTCTCTTGCTGAGGAGGGCGGGCTCCCGTAGCTGTCGGTCAGCAGGGGGCAGTGTGGCCAGGCTAGTCAGCTGAGCTGTGGAGGGTTTGGGGGGTGGGGTTCATGTCACCCAAAGGGGGGAAGGGTGGGGAAAAGTGAGACATGGATGACAGGAAGTAAAAATCTCTAATCTGTGCACATACATGTTTCACTATCCCCTTAGAGGAAGAATGATTTCCTCAGGAGAACATTTCTTTTTAAGGATAATGCAGCCGACAGCGAGGTGCTGTGTTCTGAGTGAAGCCACATATGATGCAGGCCGCTCTGTTATGGAAGCTCTATCTACTTTACTGTTCAGAGAGCTGTCAAATGGATGAAGAATTCTTTTCATACTATTTTACACCTTGATATCTCAAAGATTTATTTAAAATCATTTTTGCATGAAGCAGCATGGCACTGTCACACTGTGTCAGTGAGCTGAACACCAATCACTGAGGACTTCAACTATTTTTGGTCAAGGAGGTTATGCTTTCCCCTCTATTTGTATGTTGATTTGTTTGTAAGTGAGATCACACGAAATCAACAAAATGGATTTCCATGTAACTTGATGAAAAGATGAGTCAGGGAAGAACCAATTAAATTTAAGTGTGGATCTGGATCAGTGGGGAAAAGGAATTTCTTTTTCACTTTCTGTAAAATTGCAAGATAGGAAGTTTTTCAACATTTTCCCAGGGAGTAATTCATGGATCTTAATGAAAAAGAGATCTGTGCTATTTAGGGAACTGCATCTATGTGAAAAATGTGGTGCTGCTTGATTGAATTAAAGGAACTGTTGGGTCTTGACAAAGGGATATCAATCAATTATTCAATCTAGCTCACAATAGTGAAAATCAAGTTACATTGAGTCAAAACAGATAAAAAAAATCCAGATTTGAAAAGGCAGTAATTGTTTGGCATGTGTGGTAAATGACTTTGCTAAATAATGTTTGATGACTATTCGATGATTAGTCCTCTAGTCTCACCCTGAATGCGGAGGCTCTCCTGATACTGGATGATGAAATACTCTTGGTTGTGCTGGAGCTTGCGCAGATCATTCTCCGTGTCCTGGGTCATCAGACGAAGCTCCTCAAAGGCCTGGTTTATCTGCTGGTATTTCTGAGACATGCTGTCCATCATCCCGCCCACCGGAGAGCTCGACTGTCAATTACAAAACGTGATTGAGAAACAAGCTAGTGGAGGGGGAGAGGTAGAGGAAATGACGAGATAGGGCACAGAAATTGATAAGGTTGGTTCTCCATCAGCTGTAAATTGTCTGAATTGACTGTCATCGTATTTTTATGATGGTTGTTCAGGGAAATGGCTGTTGAGGAGAAAGCTAAGCTCGTCGGTGGGGGATGGAGTAGGGAAACAAAATTTTGCTAGACATGATGGATTGACCCCTGTGCGTGGCAGTGGTGCTATTTGACTGTAAAATCCCCAGTGGCCACAAGCAAAGTGAGAACACTGCAAATAGAGAGGGAGGAAATGCATTTGCTTATCATACTGAGGCAGAATGCATGGTCAGTTAAAGCTCTGAACAAGAGCACTGTGGTGTCTTAAGGTTCAGAGCTAACAGGGTGGAATTCAATCAGCCCAAATATGCATTCCACTAATAGAAAAGGCATGTTGTGACTGGAAATCAATTCACCCCAGGAGCTGCTGAGAGTCAGATGTTTTACGCACTGCTGGCTTTATGGTTTTATAACTCAGTGCTTGTTATAACCATGAAATATTCGATTTCCCTCCATATTGCTGCGTTTGCACTGGAGAAATACAAAGGGCCGCTTTTACAAGGCCATTTTCCAGCATGATTGAGTAAGTGGGAGTGTCTGTAGATATCACATTTATAATAATCTGAGGGAATCTGCAGATTTTTGGAGATAAATGGGGGAAACAGAGGGTAGTTACACAATCACCCACTCTCTGAATCAGTTACCATTATATGCTGGAGCTTGTGTTTGTGTTAGCAGGCTTTTTGCGGGCTATGAAATGAATAATGCACGACGAAGCCAAAGGTGTTGGCAAGTTCATATTTCAGTGAGGATGTCTGCGCGGGGACCGATCGGCAGAAGTGTGCATGCAGGTGTCAGCCTTTATTTCACAGCGTACACATGCACCATACTCACGTTCGTGGCCTCTCTGACGAGCCTCTGCTCCGTGTAGAGGATGTGTTTGATGCATCGGACCAACTCCAGAGGACAGCGGTCATACGTGCTCTGAAAGACAAGGAGCACATGTGCCGTGTTAAGGCCGGTTAGCCCCTGAAGAGTGGAGCGGCCGCTGCAAACAGGACTTGCCAATTTAGTCACATCAAGGAAGCTCGCTGAGTTCTGGAGCCAGTGGCGCAGGCACACTAAAACCCATTAAATGAGCCTAATGAGACCCATCTCTCAAGCTCAACACACTTTATAGAGAGACATGACTCATTAAAATACACACACATTGTCTCTCTCACAAGCAGGCGCACACACACACCAGAGTCGAGTGGTTTATGTGTGATAGTAAGATTTTTTAAATAACAGTTTCACTTTCAGTTTTTAATAAAATACCGTTGGTGTCAGTTATTCTTGTTGTTTCCTGCTTCAAGTGAAAAAATTAAGTTGCACTACAAATCTAATAATCATAACGTTTTAAAAGGTGACACCACAGTTATGAGACAAAGATGACTAAGCATCAACAGTATTTGCTCTCCTGCATTATTATGAGTTTTTAAGGCAAGAGTGGATCGCCAGCATTTGGAAAGTGATATAAACTACCATAGATGAAAACAAAAAAAAAAGCTATCTGGTAGGAATTCAGGATGCAGTTTCATTGTGCTCAGCAGCCCTCTCACCCTGTTTCTCTGGCTGGTGTTTGGGCAGATGGGAGAAGACAAACAGGTCTGTGAACGGGGAGCTTGATCATAAATAGCAGTGCTGGCCGGCTACCAAGGCCCTCACTTGAGCTGTCCTCTTGTTTTTTTCATGGTGGATACAACCTGTTCTTAAAACATTTCGTTCACTGTGTGCTTTTCCTCAGAACCATGACAAGGGAGGCGTCTGAACCGAGCAGCTGTGCCTTCCATCCACTTACTTAACATCTTGTCACGTTGTAAACAATCAAAAGTGTTTTGCTGAAACCACAACAACAGCCTGAGATGATCTCATTTCTTTAAATATCCCTCTGGAGCTGCTTCTGGTTTGTGAACTCTAGGTGCTTGATGTTCCATTGTTTTCATTTTTCAAAGACCCATCAAATGATATTTTTAACAGATTTGTTTTTCAAGTGCCAGGGAATTTATCCTTTACTGATAAATCTGACAAAACCTAAGAGCAGAGTTTGGTATTTTTCAAAATTCAGTTTTCCTACCTAACTGCAAACAAAAGGTAAAAAGCCTCTCGGTCAAACACTGTGTATGAACAGGACACAGTGGCATTTTTTTCCGCTCACTGGCAAATGGCATTGAGCCAAAAGATAAATCTAGCAAGGTGCTATAAATATTGCTGGTTGTGCAGTATAGTTCTGATGGTGTTTGAGACATATTTTTAAGAGACACACCTTGAGCTGGTTGGCGTAGTGTCCCAGTTTGATTTTGAGGAGGAAGCCATCTTCTCCCACCTGGTGTTCAGCCTTGTTCTGCAGCTCCTGTATAAGACTGTCCAGCAGGCGCTTGGCCTTTAACTCCTCCTGCGGGTTCTCCAGGTCTATGACATCCCTAAGAGACACATACAAGCCATGCAGACATGTATAAATGCATGCACATAGTGAGTGACTCTGATGTGTTGAAAAGAACAAACAGAAGTGGACAAGAAAAAAAAATAGGACTGTCCGAATACGCTATCACGGACAAACACACAACACAAATATTTGTTGGGGCATATGTGGGCATAACTGTGCAGACACATTCTGTTTGCACTGAGGAGCAACTCACCAGAGCTGGCCCTCTATCCACTGGGACAGATAATGCCGCACCTCGATGGGGAAGTGCTGACCATAGAGAGACTGCATCTGGTGCAGAGCATCTCCCTGGAGCTGCTGGGCCTGGATCCACACTGCCATCTTCAACACCCTGAGGGCGGAAAAGGGGGTTGGCTATAAATCAGAGAGCAGGGAATGAAGTTTGAAGGAAGAGATGCAATGAAAGGGGATGAGGAAGGAATCAAAGCCCCAGAATGTGAAAAAATGATGTAAGTTTCACAGACTGAGATTTCTCCACCTGTTGAAGCTGCCTACATAAAAAGAGATGCCTGATATCCAAAGATTTTTGTGGGTATGAGTGAATGGTTTAAAAACTAGCTTGCTCAAGCATCATAGGGAACATGTGATTTTTCAACTGAAATAAATTTGTAGAATAACAGTTTGATTAAAATTTTCCAAACACTTTTACTTTATCCCCTATTTGTTATCAGTATGCATTTCTTACTTCACAACTAGATGCTTTCTACCATCAGTGACTTGTATACGAACAATGTATTCTCCTCATTGGCACAGCTTAAAGCCAAATTTATACTGCTGTCATCAGATTGTTTCAGGTATATGCAAATCAGGAACTATGCCAGAGGAAATATTTCAAACTTGGAAACTTATAATTCTCCTGATGCACCTCACTGACAGCTGAACCTGATACCAAAAGACTGGTCTCTATAAGTTTGTAAATGTGTACTCCGGTCAGACTGCTCTATCAATGCAGCATCTGAGATTAACATGCAAGTGGAAATGTCATTAGCCTACACTCTTGCTGAATTAACTCGAGACATCAGTTAATTCAATATAAGGTCATACACAGACTCCATTATTCACGGGTTAAATTAAACTCATTCCACCCATCCTCATCTCCATTCTAATGCAAACAATCTAATAGAACCCTGGCTCACATGTTTTGGTTCTGCAGCAGACTCCACAAGTTCTCTATTGAAGTTTTTCATTGCTACTCAGATGTCTATGGGAACGATCTTCCTCCCAATCCACAAACACAGACATTCTAGGCTGGTCACAACAGTTAAAAACTGCAAACTCTGTCGATAAAGTATGAAATGGTCATTGGAAAGATGGTCATTCTTCATGTCTGGAACAAGGAGATGTCCCCATGTTTTGAAATCTTTCTCACACAGCTCTCTGGTGCTTTATGGAGCCCGATATGAGATCTCAGGGAAAGCAAGTAGGTTTAAGCATATCTGGCAACCCTTCCTTGACAATATAATGAGGGGACCTGCGTGACGCCTCAACACCTTTTCAACACTTGTCTCTTATTTGCTTTTCAAAGCACAATGTTATTGTATAATTGAAAAGATGACCATTGTAAAATGTGTAACATATGAAGAAGAGTCCATCATTTTTTTTTTTTTTTTAAATTGGAGGCCAGTCCTGAATGCTGTGAGAGTCTGGGGTAACATTAGCAGCTCTGTCCTGATCTTTATTAGACTGGGGTAGGTTTACACTCCGGTAACCGTAGACAACATTAAGCATGCCAATGCATTACCTTACAAACACATTGGTTAGTCCTCCTCACTCTAGATTTTTCACTCACAAAGAGTACCATATTCAAAAACGCAAACCACAAACAAAGATATCCAAACATGCTTATTATATAATAAAATACTCAGTTTGAGTGTTTTTCTTAGTTTTTTCTATTGTTTAAAAAAATGACCAGGCATTTGAAGTGCTAAATCTGCCGCCATGTTTTCCCCGGCGTTTGTTTGTCAGTTACTTAGCAGGATTATGCAAAAACTACTGGATGGGTTATCATAAAAGTTGGTGAAAGAACCCATTTAATTTTCTCAGAGAATAATGAGTGCATCCTGATGAAGGAAATCAAGTATGTTAGGGGACTTCTATCTATGAGTAGGAGCAATTTGCTGCAGATCCAAATAAAAATCTAGATCTAGTGAACTTCAATGGGGTTGCATAAGGGGACTGCTGGACTGGTAAACTGGATTTGTGTGAACATGAAGCATGACACGGAAGCAGAACTCAGCAAACAGTCAACTGATTCACCGTGAGAAATGTTAAAAAAAAAAAAAAAAAACAGAAGTAACTGACAGTTTAATTTGAAGGAAACTTCAAATTGACGAATCAACAATGAATCCATAAATAACTAAAGCAGACTCTGTGACAAACCACTACAGGCTTACGTAGCATACACACTTTGGGGAAACGAAACCTACAACATACGGATAATTCAGGTTTCATCTCCATGACTGCAGCGGTTGAGCTGGTGCGTCTTTCCTCTCAACATGTCAAACAATTGCTGTACATTGTGTGTGGCTGTGTGTTGTTGGGTCACTGCTGCCTGTTTCCAGTCAACACACCCACTCACTCTTTCTGAAAAGGGGCACAGTCACTGTCAGTAAAAGACTGAGTGAAAAGAGTACGCGGGAAGTTTGCGGTGAATGTGTTTATATGTGTGTGCGTGTGTGTGGTTAGTGTATGTACGCGCATGTGTGTAATTGTAGGCGCTTGTGTACATTGTTCTGTGTGACAGTGTGTGTGTCTTTTGTGTGTCAACACGTAGCAGCACAGACAGTAAAAAGAAAGTTGATCTACTTTATCTGCCTCTTATTTCATCTCTTATTCTCTTTCTCTCCCTCTCTCTCTCTGTGGCTCATTTCATACACTCATCATAACTCCAGTTTATAATATCCACGATACCCAAAAGGCATTCTATACATTGTCAATCTAGGAAGGATGTTTCCTTTTTCCTATTTTAAACATGCATTTCCTCTCTAAGCTAGTCAGTAACAGCAGTTTACAGTTATCTGGGATATTGTAGTGGGTCTTGCATGAAACAGGAAAACTGCTGCCCTGCTCTGAAAGAAACTGCATGGCATCAAAGCGGATCCCATGACTTGCACAGAATAGCTTTAGTTATCTGTCTAATGATGCTGCATAATAAATCAATTTAATGAAAACCTCAAAACCTTGTCATTACCTTCCTTTTCATCTGGTCACCAGACAGAGCAGATGCATGTGTGCGTGTCATGTCAAAGAACTCATGCCCTCATAGCTGTGTGCATGTGAGTACACCCACGTTATTCACCTCAGCCTAGTAGGTTATGTTTTCATCTGCCTTTGTTTGTGTTTGTTTGGTAGTTAGCAAGATTAGGTGGATTTCCAAGAGACTTCATGGAAGTATGTGTCGTGGGTTCCAGGATTAGTTTTTTCACTTTCTTTAACATTCAAAGATTGATTTTTTTATTTTTTTCACAGAAAATAATTCATGGATCTTGATGAAAATCAGGCGTGTTTTGGCGACTGATATTTATGAGTGTATGCAGTTTGGTGCAGATCCAAAGAAATATTTAGATTTTGTGAATTTAAATGCTGTTTTATGAGGGGGCTGTTGGGCCTTGTTTATTTGGAGGGATAGTTAGTCTGAGGGATTCAACAAAAAACAAAAGACAGATTAGCACAAACCATGGTGGAAGGATGTGGTATGGGTAAGGAAGAATCTTTAGATTTTTTTTTTTCACCTTCTTTAACATTGCAAGCCAGGTTTTTTTTTACCCAGGGAATAATTGTTGGATCTTGATGAGTTATCTCTGAAGGTGCATGTGCAATTCGATGCAGCTTGATTATATTTAAGGGGACTGTTGGGCCTTGGCAGAGGTATGCACTCTGCTGAGTTGTATATGTGTGTGTCTAGGTGAGATGAGCTCAGAACGATAATTCCACTCCATGGTATTCACGTCCTTAGACACTGAATCCTATCAGCCCTTGCTAATGCCCCTACTATCACACTGAGTGTTAACTTCACCCTTTGACCTCCCAGCTTCTTCTTATCCACTGAAGAACTCACGCACAGACTTCAGTGAACTGTTATTAGTTGTATGAGCGGCTCACTTCTCCACAGACAACAAGCTTTGCTCCATAAATCCTGACAGGTGGTTTTGGTAAACTGTGTGTTGACTGCATGGCCGATGACTTGTGACGGTCACCAGTAAAAGTCACTTTGCACAGACATGGTCATTAAGCATCTTGTGTTGAGAAAGCCATTAGTTAATGTTATAATTTAATCACATTAGTAAATTAGTTACCGAGTTGACTGATACAAAAAACTGAAAAATATATGTAATGCTCATTTATCTTTGCAGTTGAGTAAGTGTGCAGATTGTTTTTAGAATGAGTCAAATTACAGACATAAGACACCATAGTCAAAAGACAACTGGATGCTCAATAGAGAGCATATTCTGCAAAGGCCAAACAGTACTCGTAAATTGCATCAAGCTAACCCTAACCCAAGCATGGTCTGTTTGTTTTTATGTAATTTTGCTTACACGCAAAACAACAGAAAGTGGAGTGTTTTTCACCAGTTCATTATCTGTGAGATCATCAGCTGATTGGAGGAGGAACTAAACAGGAACAGCATAAAACCTCTTTCTGTGACAATCACGGCCGGTGCTGGATTGTCTGTCTGTGCCATCCCCCTTTTATGCAGACATACAAACAACGCACTCAGGGCATGCTGGGAGCTAAAGAGTATGCTGTGCAGCCAAAAGACGGACAGAGAAACTGTGTGTTAACAAATCTGTCTGTCTCCATAACAGCTCTCAAGGGTGAAGGATCCAGGCTTGCCGCCATTAACGCCTCCGTTGTCACCTCCACCGGGAGAAGGAGATGCTTCCAACATCTGTTTCACTGTGGCTAACCACAACATCCAAACATCCAGGCATGAACCTGAGATATGCCGTGAAAACTAAAGAGTCCTTTTTCTCTGACGCTTTTCTCTCTTCACCACGTAATCCATTTTACCAATAGCAGTACCGCCAACAAAAAAAAAATCCAGCTTACCTCTTGTTTTCAGCTCTGTGTTACCATGTAACAGCAGGAAACTCTAAAGAGGAGCACCACAGACCTGAGACAGACAGACAGAGAGTGAGAGAGAAAGCATGAGGGAGAAAGCAGAAGGAGGAAGTGAGTCAAAATTAGGTACTTCTGAGGCAAGGACCAGTGCATTGACACAAAGCCCAAGAGATTGAAGGCGAGCTGATAGGGTGAAAGGGAAAGTCCACTGAACAGATTTCTCTTTATTCCTGCAGTCTTGGAAACGTCAATAAAATAACATAATTTATGAGGATGGACAAATAATTCCCATGCGTTCCTCAGTGATTAGTAAATAGGCAACGCTCTCTTGGTGATGATATGCAGAGATCTGGGAAGATCTGCTGCAATTAAAGAGCCATTCTTTGGAAAAGAATTGCTGTTAGGACTCTAAAAGCAATAAATACCTGAACAGATATTCTACATTATTATGTTAAAAAAAAACTTAACATAGACAAACATAGACATCTAGACAAAACATAGATGTGATTGTGTAAAATTACAGCAAGTACTGAGGGTCAAAAGTTGAATTCATATTAGGTTGGTTACAATCAAATTTATATCTGTTTCAGCCCTGTGTCCTCTCTAAGCCAGCGATGTTCTCACCCATTATCAAAGCTTATCCAAAGTGGAAGAGATAATAATTCTTAAAACACTGCTTGTTGTTTTTAAACAAAGATGGACGACATGGAAACTCCCTGAACGGGAAGCCAAAACATCTTGATCGCCTCCTGCTGGCTGGCCACAGTACATAAAAACCCTCTTCCATGTTAGCAGATGGACAGATTTAAAAAGTCGGCAAAATGAATGTGACAAATGAATTCTAGGTTCTTATCACGCTAATATATATTCATTTTTAAGTGGTTTTAATTTTTTATTTGATGCTAAAAAAACAAGGTGAAAGGTCATGATTGACAGCAGAGACTGACTTGCGATTGATCGAGAATCTGAATGACATCACCAGCCTGAGATGGCAGCACACATAGCTGGGATATATTGTACAATTTCGTAGAATGGGAGGAAGTGGAGATGTGTCGTCCATCTTTATTTACAGTCTATGTTTCAGATGTTCACACACTAAGAAAATCTTTCTGCCATCTCCAGCCTTCTCTAATCAATCGCTTTTTTGTGAACACAGCCAATCTCCTCTTCATCCCCCTGTATTCATCTTGATTTAGTCACAAACAAGAAACAATGTTTTATGAACACAGCAAATGGGGAATGACCCTTGATTAACGGGTATCATTTGCACCACAGCTATTAAATAATTATTTCAAACTCTTTTCACTGTCAGACGTTTCAATAGAAACAGATCCTAAGTTAAACCGTCCAACTGTGGTGAAGGCTAATAACAAACAATTTAGGTAAAAACATTTTTATTTTCTCTCATTTTCTCTTTTAAATAAGTTTGGCAGAAGAGGGTGACAATCATGGTTTCTTACCCCATTAGCAAAGTAACCACATGACCTCTTGGTAAGTACAGTACTGGCACAAACAAGAGAACTAAAATAAGAAAAGCCTTTTTTTTTCTCATAATGTATCTGAGAAAAACATATGTGGAGTAAAAGGAATGTCCAAATAAAAGCAGAGGTCTGTATCATGTGAGAATATGTTTTGTTACACTAATTCCTCCTGCTCTGTTTCCCATGCTTGTTTTAAGGACACAGAAAGTGTTTGGCTGGATTGAGAGACTGGAAAGCGTCATGGTTTGAACAGCCAGACAAAACGCCATTGCTGTCATCCCCATACACACAAAGTCTCTGAAGTTAGTCTTATTGTCATTGAAAAAGCTCTCAGTCTTGGCTGGACCCTGGAGAAACAGAACATCAGGAACCCACATGCTGGCAGAAATCTCCAGACAAATATGTGAGTATCTTTATTTTGCTGTCTGGATCCGTCTTCCTTGGCTCAATCCTACTTTTCTCTGCCATGCCGCTCTGTTTGTTCGGTTTAACTCTTTTGCTTCCTTAAAAAAAACTGACAAGCTATGCACTGCCTTTTTTTCCACAGCAAATCCCAACAGAGAAAGAATTTAATCTAAAAGTTTAGAGGTTGTGTCTAGAATTTGTCACGGTGCTGTCTGTGTCTCACTGCCTATGACCTCCACAGCAGCTCCAAGGTCACACTGCTTCTATAGAGCCCACATCAACCCACGGCTCATTTCAAACCAAAATATGACCTGCTTGATGATATTGTGACTCAACTTTCACAAAACAAATAGAGAGTAAACACATAATACGGGGAAAGGAAAAATTTACTGTTCAGTCCATCAAAAAATGTGTTGATACCAGAGACCGGCCAAAATAGATTTTTGGAGGCTGATGCCAATATTAATATTAGGAGTAAATATTTCCGATAATATATCACTCA